GCTGTGCATTCGGTGTCCACCTCGGGACAAATGAGACACGAATAAAGCAGACGACCAGCGAGGATGTGCAGTCACCGAGGTGAAAGGTAGGAGAGGCAGGGAACTTCAGCTACCCACTTATTCACCTGGGCCCCAGCGGTAAATGAGCACAGCCTGCCGTCAGTCAACGCTGACGGACTACATGAGTGAACATGCACCAAGACTCACTTCGCTCAGTTCCTGTCCTAGTCCTGGGCAGAAGCATCTCTGATAAGAGATCACCTGGCCCCACATCCTACCAAATGGCGTCTCCACGGCCCTGGGTTTCCTGCAAAACACTCCAAATCTAGAGGAGGAAACCAATCATAGTTAGCATGCGGCGAGTGTTCCCACAGAGATAATGGCTTATGAAAGCACTGAGGAGGGGCACCCTACCCCAGGGTGGGGGTGAGTTCTTGAAGGCTTCACAGAAAGGACACTAAGCTGAATGTTGAAGGGCACTTTCTAGAAAGCAGGGAAACGCATTCCAGGCAGAGGGAAGCATGGGTGTGAAGGCACAGAAGCAAGAGATGTGGCGGGTTTGGGGAGCTCTAGGTAGTTCGGTGTGGCTCCAGCTCAGAGGGCAGAGAGGTCAGGGCGGGAAACACAGGCAGGAATCAGTTTATACAGAGCCCTGAATGCCATGGTAAGTGTGGATTTTGTTGTGTTTATGTTTTTCAGCCCTGGCTGCACACAATCACCTGGGGAGCTTTTAAAATATCAATGTCTGGCTCTTACCTTCAGATTGATTCTAATGGCTGTTTTTGACGGGAAGAGGCTTGAGCATGTTTATGTGCGGTGTGGAGGGAGACAATGGGATCCAGCATACACACGGAGGGATTAGCCTTTGGCTAAGGAGAACACCTCACAGACTGACGTGTACGGAAAAGAAGGGTAAATTTGTCAGGGGACTGGGGGAGGAGGTCATTTGGGGCCTGCAGAGAAGCCAGGTGGAAGGGGCAGGCTGATAAACTGGAGAAACTGAAGGGGTCCAGGAAGGGGTCCAGGAACTCACAGGCTCGATAAGTATGAAAGCCAGGTGTTGGAGAGGGGGGTGCAGGGGAAGAAGCCCCAGTCCAACAGCTAAAATTCCACCTCCTTCATGGAACCTTCCTGACTAACTGGAAGTGAGGTGACTCCCCCCGGGGGGGTCCCACCCTGTCTGACTCACTGCTCACTCACTGCTCTCTTAGGGGCCCTTCTCCATGCTCACTCCCCAGAAGATAAACCACTGATTATTTTCTGCAAGGGTTCAGTCTGAAAACCACCATCCATGTGAACGCAAACAACTCCGTTCCCATGATTATCTGAGGCTTTACATGTTTCAGCAGAAATATTAAAAGGAACTGGGATCAAAGAAGCAGGAATAGCAATGAGAAACAAATGGAAAAAGGCATGCCTGTGTGTGTACGAGCAGGTGGGCGAACAGGTGGAGCAGTGGAGGGGACAGAGCATGGGAGATGTGGGGAGTCGGCTAAAAATGATAGGAACCGAGGGTCTAGGCTAACAGACACCAGGTGTGGCACATAGAGATGAAAGCAGTCTCTTGGGGGCTGTGTCAGGCTTCTCCCCTCCCCATCCTGTAAAGGACAAAGGGCACTTTCTACACAGTCGCCACACAGAGGAGTTGGGGGGGAGGGCTGAGTCTGTGAGGACAGGGGAGTGAAGAGAGGGTGAAGGGGTTGTCAGTTAATCATTCTGCATATCCTTGGGCCTTCGCCCACTAGCTAGTGTCCTCCACCTAAGGCTGAGACCTCTGCTGAAGGAACCAGAGCTGGAAAAACATCCAGCTGGCAGAAGGGGGAGACTGTGCGTGAATACTCGTCACATCTGTCCATTGGCAGCCAATGCCTACACACTGTGGGTAGCATGCAGTGTTCACTGAACAGAACTAAAGAAACTCAGGTATGGGAAGAGGGCTGTGATAGAACCTGCAGAAAAGGCTGTGGAGAGGGAAAAGGGGAGACTTTTGCTTAGGGGACAAACCAGGGGAGGTTATCAAGATGAGGGAAAGACAGTTACCCAGATCTGGAAGATGTGTTGAGAGGGGCCAAAAGGGGAAAAGAGAAAGCGTAGCTTATTATTCACTACTTTCTCTGGCAAGAATGGGGCCCTAAGAGCTGCTTTCCATGCGTTCTTATGGTTCAGTCCTATAACTACTGTTACCGCCGCTTCATGGGTGGAAAGAATTGAATCAGAAAGGGTGATGGATTTTTCTCAAAGTCACATGGCAAGTAAGGCAGAAGCAACACTGGTGTTCCAGGCCAAGGAAAAAGTGTGGACAAAGGGATGGAAGGAGGAAAGCACAGCACAGATACAGGGAATTGCTACACCTGATTGTGCTTGGCCAAACCATACACTGAATAAGAGGCCTTTATATGCCAGAAGATGAAAAAGTTGGTTGGTCCCAAGTGAAAGAATGAGGAGTTTTGTTTGTACTGGGGCATCCCTAAGAATTTTAAGAAAGGGGTTATGATCCCCATTGTTCTTTAGAAAGACAAACCTGGGGACAATATATCACTAGGAGGAAAGGAGAGGAAGGGGAGCCAGCTGAGACCAGCTACAATGCACAGGTATGATGTACACACACACACACACACACACACAGTTGTGACACACAGAAGGCCTGAGAGCATAGAGCAGACAGAGGACACAGAATTGACAGGAAGGTGGTCATGCTGGATAACTCAGGTGAAGCAGAGTGGAGGAAAAGAATGCATTTGGGGACATATGGAGTGTGAAGTAAGATGACACATTCCATAGGTAATCTTTTTTTTTCTTTTTACAGAGAGAGAGACAGTGAGAGAGGGAACACAAGCAGGGGGAGTGGGAGAGGGAGAAGCAGGCTTCCCGCGGAGCAGGCAGCCCGATGCAGGGCTCGATCCCAGGACTCTGGGATCATGACCTGAGCCGAAGGCAGACGCTTAACGACTGAGCCACCCAGCGCCCCTCCATAGGTAATCTTAAACACAGTTCTGGAAGTTTAGAATGGACAGGGCTCGAGGAAAAAAAAAAAATCCAAGGATTCTCTGAAATCACATAAAGTGGACTGTGAGAGCTCACTTTCCCAGCCCCTTGCTTTCATTTCCTTTAAGGAATTCCTGCCCCCGCTCCACTGGCCTGTTAATCATGGTGTTCTCCCAGTTTCCCCCAGTCCGAGCTCCTAACAGCCCAGAATCCAAGCAAGAACAGTCAGAGTTCCTGCACGAGATGAGCCCTACTGCTGCAGAGTGCCAAAATACAGAGAGAGCCTCAGATATCCAAGCCCCCTGCAGCCAGTCACCCTTCAACCCTCCATCTGAATAACCCAAATATAATCGGGCCCCCCTCTCTGTTTTTGGTTAGGCTAGTTTAATTGTAATGTGCTATAATCAAAGCAGTCTAATATACCATGATGCAATAAAAAATGAAATTGCTCAGGAGAGAGTAGGGGAAGAGAATAGTAGTTAACATTTGAGTGCTGACTATACCTCAAGGGCCTTTTATGCCCTTCTAAGAAGTTTGGACTTTACCCAGTAGAAAATTACGAGCTACTTAAAGGTTTCACTTTAATTTTAAATATGTTCAGTTGAAGGTACCCTTTTGAGGTCTGGGCTATAATCCCATTTCACAGAGGTGGAAACTGGAGTTCTTGGAAGGGAGGAAACTTGCCTCAGGCCACACAATGGATATGTCCAGATCAGGTATAATTGAAGAATGGTCGCGTGTACAGGGAAGGAGGTGGTAAAGACCTGATAGGAGTGACACTGGAAGGATAAACAAGGGGACTGGCAGCAGGAAAGAGAGAGGGCAGACGGTCCAAGTAGAGGGCAGAGCCTCTGCGAGCAGTAGACATGTGACACAGCACCTCACTCCCGGGTCCTAGCTCCAGCTGAGAGTACTTACAGCTTAGTGGCAAGAACAGTGGAGTTGCCGTGACACAGCAAGGCCTGTGGGACTGGTGATGAGTGTGAAGAGAGGCAAGCACAAGCTCTGATCTGTGATACCTGGGGAATTACAACAAGCCCGTGAAGACCCGAGCCCAGACCTGGTTAAGTATGGACAAATGAGGAGGGAACTCATCACAACTGCACAGAGAGATCTTTGCATGGTGTAGGGCCCCCTTTAGGGACAGAACTGTAGGCAGACTGCGGAACTGAGCCTTCAATTGGTTGGACAGGAGATACAGTTTAGGAGGGGGGACAAAGAACATTTCAGGTGAGGGAGCTTGTCATTTGGCCTCAAAGCAAAATGACACAATTTAAGAGACCAAACTGGGCTTTAATGGGAGAGTATGGGTGTCAACTAAGTGGGAGAAAAAAAATTCACAAAACTAGATTCAAAAATGACTTATGACACCAGGTAAACCAATGTAAAAATGCTCTGCATTCGGTGCTGAAGAGACACTGTGGGGGATGAGATGTGCACAAAGGATCTCTCAGGAGGCTGAGCTCCTGAGGCTGAGCATGACGTCAGCATAGACAAGGTGCACAGGGAGGAAGATGTTGTCCTCATAAAGGGATTGATCAATCATTGGTTTAAGCAACAATTACGGACAGCAGAGTTCTAGACACTATCCTGAGGATAGCGAATATTTATCAAGCTTTTATTAAGCACTGTTCTGAGCACTTAGTATGTATTAATCTATTTAAACATTACAGCAACCCTACAATATTGCCACTAATATCATCATCCCCAGGAATAAGGAAACTGAGGCACAGAGGTAAATTAACTTTCCCAAGGCACACAGCTAGTAAGTGGCGGAGCTAGGCAGTCTGAACCTGCTCTTTTAACCAAAATGCTACATTATTCTATCTCCCCCCAAGTCAACTAAATCACACTACTGATAATAGCAGCAGCTAGCGGGGCGCCTGCGTGGCTCAGTCGTTAAGCGTCTGCCTTCGGCTCAGGTCAGGATCCCAGGGTCCTGGGATCGAGCCCCGCATCAGGCTCCCTGCTCAGCGGGAAGCCTGCTTCTCCCTCTCCCACTCCCTCTGCTTGTGTTCCCTCTCTCACTGTGTCTCTCTAAGTGAATAATAAAAAAAAAAAAATAGTAGCAGCTAGCATTTATAGTGTTTACGGTGGGCCAGGTGCTATAGTATGCCAGACATACACATTCATGCCAAAGATCACCTAGCTCCCAGGTAGATGAACTGGAATTCAAACCCTGACAGTTCAAGGTGCTCGAACTTGGAGGACAATAAAGAGCATAAAAGAGGAGGTAACTGACCTTACTTACTTAAGAGTGGCACTGAGTTGTGCCCACACTGGGTTGTCAGAAAGCTTCACAGAAGACCAGCTCATGGGCTGAATTTTGAAAGATGATTGGGTATTCATCAGACAGAATGATGGGGCAAAATGTTACTTGCAGAGGGAATGGTAGGACAAAAAGAACGGAGGCTAGAGTTTGTTCATTTCAGGAAACTTCAAGCAGCTTGTATGGCTCGAGAACAGAGTGGGCAGCAGGACAAGAGAGAAACTAAGGAGAAGTCAGGGGGCCAGATCACACAGAATCTTCCTTGCCTTTCCAGGAAATTTGAGATGTTTTTCAAACTTTTTCAATGAAGTAAATGTAATGGCAAAAAAGACAGAAAGAAATATCCCCCAGGAAATCCAGTGGCTTACTCTGAACCCCTTCAGACTAGTAGGAATTCCTTCAAGTCTATTTTCTCCTAATAATGCATACATGATAGTTTTTTGTTCTCTGTTTAAATTACTTACCCTCAAGAAAATGAGTGTTCCAGGGTGATTTGACCCAAGGACTTTCAGCATGCCTGGCACACCAACCTGCCAGGTGCATGGACTCCAGTTTGAGAAACATGGGGAGGGAACTATCAAAAGGATTTTAATCAAAGGAGCAATGTGATCCGATCAGCAGTTTAGAAAGACCTGGCAGCTGTATCAAAGATGGGTGGGAGTGGGAGACAGGGAGTCTGAACAACACTTTTAGGGAAAGAGGCCCAGGGCCTAAAATGCAGGGCAGGATGGATAGATATTAGGGAGCCAGAAGAGATAGGATTTGGCACCTGGGGGTGGGACACAGAGAGGGAAGGGTTTAGGATGGCTTCCATAGACCTGGCTTAGGTCATACCCAGGAAACTAGGAAAAAAAAAAAAAAAAAAACAGGTTCAGAGGGAAGGATGCCTGGACTTGAACATTCAGAATTTGAGGTACCTATGGATCCTAGGGGCAGAGAGCTCTGAGCTGAAAATAAAAGTGGTGGTCACAGAGACAGTGGGCAGAGGGATAACAGGCCAAAAGCTGCAGAAAAGGAATGGTCAGAGACGTAGGGGCCAAGTGGGGAGAAAGAGATGAAAAGGAAATGATCAGCACTAGGAAACACCATGGAGATCAAGTAAGATGAGCCCTGAAAAAATTCTGGATTTAGCCAGTAGGTCAACGTACATCCCTTAGTAATTTCTCTGGACAATAATCAGGAGTTGACCCAGGGTAAGCATTTGGAAGGATTCAGCCTCCGTCCTGCCTGGTGCTGGGATCAGCTCACACGGCTCCTATGTCCACAGGGCACAGAGAATACATTGTCCGTAAGGAGGATTATTCTGTACAAGAAACTCAGACAAAGGGAGAGGTTGTTCCCAGCTGCCTGGGGGAGGTGAGAATGGGTGGAAAAAGGGACCAGCCTTGCACTAGGACATTCCTGCAGAGTTCAGCTTCCTCCCTGACAGCAGGACAGGAGGTGAGCAGTCTACACCTCCAGCTCAGTCGTCAAGACAGAACCCATTATGAAGCTGGAAGGAGCACTTGGCTACAACCTATCGATTTTCGCTGTTTCAGAAGAAAGTACAAGGTTAAGTAAAGTTGGCTAGGTAGGGCAGCAGTAGACATCAGAAGGGGTAGAGAATGGGGTGACTGGGGTAATGAGTGAAAGGGAGGTTCAACAATGACAGAATTCTAGCGACAGGGCAGAGCTGGACACGGACCAGTCCTAGGCAATGGCAATGGCCCACGCATATATGGATTAAGTAAGCTTTCTTAATCTGCTTTCAGCAGGATGAACTCTGCACTGCAGTAAGATCTCACGATTTCACAGTGCTTCTTTCTCCATCCTAGGCATAATCCCAGGAAACGATGGCCTAACCTCATTTTCCAGGGGCCCCGAGAGTATGAGAAAGCACAGTCCCCAGGCAAAACAGAGAAGTCAGAAACAGAGGAATACCCCCAAAGTAGAGCAAGAGAGCCATCTTTTACAAATCCTAAATCTGAACAAGTAAGCACATCACGTCCTCTTCTTCAAAGGGAGCACCGTATATATTCGTTCCTGAGGGAATGGAGGGAATGCGTGGGTGAGGAGAGGGAGATACTTTCCATGGAGGCATTTACCAGGTTGTGTGGGTCCCAAAGTTGGCAATGCTACATAGGTGTGTGTACTCCAGAGGATGTGGGGATAGGAGGGGGTCGGAAATGAGAACGTGTGTTTCCAGAGTAAAGAATATAAAGATGTGAGTGCCTCCAGAGTAAGGAATGTTTGCATAAGGGCCCAAGATGTAGGTGAGGTCCTGCACATGTTCCTGTTGGGGCAGGAGGACATTTCCACTCCGGGAGGACAAGGAACCCATTTCAAATATTATGGTGGGAATGAAGGTAGTATTAGTCTGAGACAACAAAGGAACTTGGGGTTGGTGCCTCTCAATAGGAGGGAATCTTCTGGTGGAATTAAGGATGGCAGTCACCAAAAGCTCCTTCAAGGGTTTTAGAGGCGTACAACTTGAATTTTATCCAATGTGACAGTTAGCTTTGACGCTTCCAGCAAGGAGGGAAACGGTAAGAACATAAGGAACACTTGAGCGGGCTGACAGAGCAGTAAGGCAGCACTGCTGAAGTGGGGGGAAGGTCTGGCATTGCCTCAGAGCTGATAAAAGGACTCCCCACGCTGTTGGGTCTATGACCACCGAACTCTGCGGATACCATCTCTTGTCTTGATGGGGCAGGAATGGATGTGACATTGGGGACTTTTCCAGTTCTTTGCTGCCACAGCCTGGCAGAATTCTGCCCGGCACCAAGCAAATGCCGAAGCACTGCTGTGTGACCGAAGAGAACAGAAAAAAGGCAGCTGGAAGGTATGAGCAGGCCCTCCTCATACCGCTCAGGACTTTTACATCAAAGCTAATCAAAGCTAAGAAAACATCTTATGGAGAACAAATTAGAATTGCCTTGCAGCAACTTTGAAAGTCTCTGACATATGGTCTCTGATCCCTATATAGCTCCCTCATAAATAGCTGTCAGCTAACCCCGACACGGTGGCCATCAATTTAAATAACTTTATTCAGGGAGGGGCACCTGGGTGGCTCAGTCGTTAAGCGTCTGCCTTCGGCTCAGGTCAGGATCCCAGGGTCCTGGGATCGAGTCCCACATCGGGCTCCCTGCTCGGCAGGAAGCCTGCTTCTCCCTCTCCCACTCCCCCTGCTTGTGTTCCCTCTCTTGCTGTGTCTCTCTCTGTCAAATAAATAAATAAAATCTAATAAACAAACAAACTTTATTCAGAGAAACCCTTTGGTCTTCTCCTGACTTAAACCCTGCCCCTCCCTGCAAAGGAGCAGCGAGAAAGGCAGCTTAGGCTGCAGACCCAACTCACGCTGCTCTTCAGCTTTATGCAAAGCAGGCAAAAGTCCTGGTGGCTATCCCCACCCACCAGCAATCTGGCTCTAATTTGAGTTTCAGTGGACTGGAGGAAAGCCATCCTGGCTGGAGTCCAGGCAGTAGGCATATTATGAGGCCAACTAAACCCTGAAGAAATCCCTTTCTTACACAGTCCTACCTGGAAGAGCCACTTCCTGGGAAGCCCCCACCTACCGGACCTGTGACATCTTCTTTCATGTGTATGGGGTGAGGTAAAGGATAGTCGACTTTGTGACTATTTCCCAGGTAAGAGCTGAACTGGCTTCTTAGAGAGAAGGAGGAGAGCAGACTCACACTTCACCAGAGCTGCAGGTGGGCCATTTGACCCAGCCCAGAAGCTTCAATGCCCATAGCTCGGAGAGATGGCCAGGATGGAACCTAGGCAGAGGGGGCCTGCAGAGCCTGCACGCCCCTAAGGACATACAGAGGCTACGACAGTTTCTGGCCACATAAAGTAAGCACAGGCTTTCAAACATAACAGAGCAGCCCGTGATCTTGGGTCCGTCAGCTCACCACTGACGTGAAGCAATGTCAGATCCCACTAAGTTCTGGATCCAGGACTGAGGAGGGCAGTGGGGAGAAGTAGCTGTAGAAACTACAGTTTATTGAATACCCATCATTTCATAGACTATACTAAGTGTTTTACATTCATTTTCTCATTTTAATCCTCACAACAACCCTATGAGGTAGGTATCATCGCCAGTTACAAATAAGAAAACAGGCTGAGAAAAATGAGGTCACTTGCCCAAAGTCACTCAGCTAGTCAGTGGTGGAGCTGGGGTCTGGTCTGTCTGGTGCTGAAAGCCCATGTTCTCTTTATTGTACCCATGTAGTTCACTTTGGGCAAAAGGCAATTTCACTGCCCAACTCTGCAAGGGACACCTGGGAGTGGAGGTTGCTGGCCACACTCACCGCTGGTAGGGATGCATTGAAGCTGACTTGATGTTGGTTTTTATTCCACTTGGCATTTTCCCTAAAAGAAACATGAGGAAAGATACTTGAAACATGGTGGGACTTTCATGATAAATCAGAGATGGTCTACCAGGTTCCCTTCTGCCACCCCCTTGCTCTATCTCAGAACCTCTGTTGCCTCTGACCCTGGGTAGCAAAGATCAGAGATGTGGGTCCCTGAAGGTGTCTGGGAGGAATGGGCTGATAGTAGGAGGGGTCAAAAAACACCCCAGTAGTCTCCTGCTTAGCTACTCCCAGAAAAGACAGTTAAGACCCCATTTAATGTCACAGGTAAAAAAAAAAAAAAAGAAAAAAAGTTTTCTCTTATTGTAACTATTCCTTTTCCTGGACAGCTTTGGAAAAAAACAAAAAAAACAAAAACCTCTTTTAGCTACGTACATCTGAATTCCTCCAGACTGTTCTCATAACTATTAATGGTAAGCAGGAGAGAGGAAACAGAGGAAAGAGTACATGGAGCTTGTCTGTTTGTCAATTCTCAGCGTACCTACTGAACGGTGTTAAGACCATTAGTCTCTCTAAGAAAAGACCCTGACAGCACACCTAGTATCCAGAGTAAATGGGCCAGAAGGGTAGTTGAGACAGAACTTTAAGATGGGGGTAGGAGGTGCAGTTTCTGCTGCTCGAAGTTCTTCCTTTCTCTGGTGCCTGCTACAGAGTCTCAAAGGAGATCTTTACTCCTAAAACATTGTTTTCTGAGTCACAGTCCAAGAAGAAAGGGAGAAAATCTCCAGCTCTGGGATGTTGGGGGCCCAGACAATGCAGCTTATTCCTACTTCCACAAGGTCTGCAACCATGTCATTCCCTGCCCCCTTACCTGTTTGACCTGTTTGAGCCATCTGTACCCCACTGAGCAGCGGCTGCTGCTGGCTTGGAGCTCCTGCCATCTGCACCTGCTGTAATCCTGAGGCTCCTGCAAGAATGGTCCCAGCTCCAGGCTGGCCTGGCTGGCCAGGACCACTGCTGCCTGAAGGTCTCCAATTAGACAGCCCCTTCCCAAAGGCCACAGCGGCTACTAAGGCATTGGTGTCTGCAGGGTTAAAGGTCTGCTTGTTTGGCCGGAGACCTGAAGAAAAAGGTGAAGTGTGGAGCCTGAGGTACGCCTCTGACCCTGGAATGAACCTACCAGGAGGAAGACCAGGCTGAGCCCAGGGGCTCAGAGCACCAGGGCTCAGCAGCATCCACACTCACAGGCAGCCCAGAGGAAGAGCCCCCAAAGACCCTCATAGCTATCTCAGAATTCTCCCCTCTCATTTTGCCCATTTCCTCCACCTGCTCCAGGGCCAGCCCTAAGTACACACGGCGAACAGAATGGAAATGTCCCTTTCCTAAGCAGTTCGGTCTTCCGTCCTCACTTCACCACCACCAAAACCACCACTCTTATTCCAGCGACCTCCCGCTTTTCCTTCTCCATTTTGCCACCAATCCCTCCATACCTCCACTCTCTGATTCCCGTTCCTCTTTGCTGATTTTCTCCAGAAGGTTTGAGCACATTTTATTCAAGCTCTGGATCTGCTTCTGTAACACACATATATTTGTGCAGAGATCAGGGCAAACAAGAGATGAGTGTGGTGAAGTTTCTTCCTTGTGCTCTTCCAGGGACATCTCATGGGTAACCAACTGCACATCCCCACCAGACACAAACGGTAATGCCTAGCTTCTCGTACTGGGACTTGAGGGAAGGGGGGGCAGGGGGTGGGCAGCAGGGCAGTGATGCCGTCCAACCTGAGCTGCATCAGCACCAACGCGGGCCGCATCTGTTGTTAGCTGCTTCTCTTGCTCTTCGACCTCAGGGTCAGGCTTGGTTCTCAGATGGTCAGGGACCACCTCATGGCTGAACACAGGCACTCGTCCTTCAGTCTGCCGCTATAACACACAGATTTTATTGATCCTCCTATGCAATTCGAGTAGATTCAGTCTGGCCTGATATATATAGTTCCTTCCATAAGCAAACGGTACATTTTCAGGGAAAACACCACCTGATACTTAAAATACCTAGCTTCCAAGGACACTACTGCCCTTACTCCCTGCTTCATTTCTGTCTCCTCATACTTCCATTTCTACCACACCTAGGGGCAAGTTTCTCTTTGCTACGTTTTAATAAAATACCAAAATAGACAAACTCACAAAAGAACATACTTTTTGCTCAAGATAGGTACTGGAGGAGAAAGGTCTTTGCCTTAGTGACAGAGGCCTCAGGTTTATTTGGCACTATTTGGGAGCGGCTCCCCAACTTCAGAAGGAAAAAAAGCAAGGTCTCCAAAATGCAGCCCTTACTTTCTATTGCCACACACTACACATTCAGAACTTCTAAAATAACCAAGCAACAACTGTGTGCCAAGTCCTCATCTAAGAATTTAATTTCCCATGTTGTACCTTTCTCCTCCTCTTACCATGAGATCTTCATCACGGTCTGGGGACAGCACCAGAGGGATGATGACCTGATTACGGAACAGTGGTGTCTTTTCATGCTTCAAGACCTTGTTCAAAGTGTTCAGCTGTCCGGAGAGCAAGGCAAAGCTGTCCAGGACAGAGGGCCTGGTGGTGATAAGGTGTCAGAATGTTCTCAGTAAAGTAGCCTTGAAGGGGTCCTTCAAACTAGCAATTCCCAGGCTCACCCCAAAAGGACTCATAGCACTCCAGCTGGACTGGGCAGGAGGGACACACTTTCAGTTTCTGACACAGGTGGAGAAATAAGGCAGTTCATTCTTTGAATGGGGTGAGGACCAGTGGCAAAATAAGAATCACGGCTATACCTATCACTAAACATTCAGAAACTGGGTAAAAACCTTTCAGGCCTGAAAATAGGATCCACACTTCCAGAGTAGGTTGGACCTAAAAGACTCAGCAATATCTGTGGTAAGAGATCCAGGATGAACACTAGATTCTCACTGTAGTGGGAGGACCCACTGAGGGAGTACCTCCTCCCAGAGAAGTCAAAGGGTGAGAATCAAAAGCTAGAAAGAACTTGGGTTGCGGGGCGCCTGGGTGGCTCAGTCATTAAGTGTCTGCCTTCTCCGGCTCAGGTCATGATCCCAGAGTCCTGGGATCGAGCCCCACATTGGTTCTCCCTCCCACACTCTCCCTGTGTTCCCTCTCTCCCTGTCTCTGTCAAATAAATAAAATCTTTTGAAGAAGAAGAAGAAGAAGGAAAAAAAAAGAACTTGGGTTGGGAAACTGGGCATTTCTCTAATTCCATGGCCCTAAGACAAACTTCACCTGTTAAATGCTGGGAAACCCAGCTCTTTCCAAATCAAAAGATATTTGCCAAGTGATAAGTTGTGACATCACTGGAGATGTCCTATCCACCAGGAGGCCTCCCCTCCCCACCCCACCCCCAGCATCCATGGAGCCCTCCTCAGCTTGCCCTGGCAACCCTTACCAGGTCAGCCGGTCATACTCGTTCTCCAACTTGTAAATGAAACTCCCCAGTGAGTTCTTCAGATCAGCCACTTGACTCAGCAGTGCATCTAATGATGCCTCAAGCTGCTTCTCCTCCCTCTGCACCGACAGGAACAGGTTGGTTACCCAGAGAGCCATGAGTATGATACATACAGAGGAAGGCTAGAAAGCCAGGATGGCAGAATGCAAAACTAGTCAAGTAACACAGGATTTCCCTAGCGCAGGAGAGCCAGGTTGTTTTCTATCTTTGGTATTTGGGTTACAGACAGCATCAACCCTTAGACCTTTCAATCCATTCGCCTCACCATTCCTCCTTTCTCTCATCATCTCCTAATTCATGTCTGGCTTTTCTCTGCATTGGAAACACTCTGTACTCTCTCATTGAGACACTTTCACCAGACCTAATGCCTGGGCTTTATTATCTTTGTACACCTCTGCAGCATATGTATTTCAGCTTCTTCTGTACTAGAACCTGCTTTGTGAGCCTGGTAGTTCTTGCCAATAACATAATCTCTAGGAAACCTACCCACACGTGAAGGTTTCCCTGAACACCAGGCTTGTACCACCGCTTCCCTCCACCCTCCCCCACTCTTCCTTTGCCCTCCGCATTTGATGTTTTCAAATTTCTTCTTGCTGAATTAATTGGCACTCATTTTATCTCTGTGCCAAGATTCCTGTGTCCCTTTCACAAGCTTAGTCAACTCATAAACATTCACTGACAGTCAACCAGGTGCAAGAAAGTAAGTGGCAAGTGAAAAACAAAAAAATGCACACGCTCCTAAGCACCAGAGAAACAATTTTAAATGCTGGGGTGTCTGCAAACATTTTCCTCCCATCTGTGGTCTCCAGTTTTACTTAATTTCTTCATCCTTAACAACTAACAGGCTCAGGGTGGGAAGAATGATGCAAAATCGTCTTGCAAACTCACCAATGTGTATGACATGAGCCTTGATCCTAGGTTCCACCCACAGCCTCAGATTATAATTAGCTCAGCTTTCAGCCATCCCCTACCCCCCCCCCCCCCCCAGCAATTCCTTCACCCCTCGGGTTTCTCTCCAATTCCAGATCCCTTGTTATGTCTGCATCCAACAGCGTCCATCCAACAGCCCAGGCCAGGGCCTGAGCCAACCCGCCACTTTCTTGAGCCGTCTTCCTTGGACTGCATTTCAACTTTCCCAGGGTACAATAGCCTCATCCCTTCGTGCACCACAGCAAGTCCGCGGGTCCTACTTCCTCGCGACTCGGCCACTGTCTCCTGCCAGACGGGCCCCACCCCCACTTTTCCAGTCGGCCGCCCCTCCCCATCCCGCGGGCCCTTACCCGCCAGCTAGGGCTCTGCCCTCTCCTCTCAGCCCCAACTCCTCACTCTCCTCGTCCAGCCCACTCTCAGTCCTTTTACCTGAAGCTAGCTAGCGGTCAACAGTCCCAGCTCGGCTCTCACCTGCATTGCGTCGGCAGCGGCGGCGGCACCGACTTCCCCTTCCGGTTTCCTAGTCAGCGAGCCACTGTGAGAGGGCTTCGTCCCCCAATCAGAAAACTCAGAACTCGACCCTCCCACTCACTTCCGGTTCCTGCGAGGCCGCAGTAACCGGGTCAGGGGTTACGAGTGGAGCATCTTCTCTGGCCCGGGCTGGCGCGGGAGCGCTGTGTGATGGCCTCGGAGCGCCCGGAGCCGGAGGTGAGGGGCGGGCGGGCGCAACGCTGGGCCCTGGGCCCCGAGCCCCGAGGGGGAGGGTCCGGCGGCCCGGCGAGGCGGCGGCCTTCTCCCGGTCTGGGGGCGGCCGTGCCGAGTTGCCTGGGCAGGAATCGGCCCAGCCCCGAAGGCCCGACAATTGAACCTCCTCCCCGGGGCCCGCAGTTTCCTCAGGGGGCGGCTAGAGCAGAAACTTGTCGCTTTGTTTTTTTTTATTGAAATTTCAGACACGTCGCCGACTCTAGGGCTCTCAGATTCTTCGGTCTTAATAATGATCCTGTGGTTTGATTTTCTGCTGCAGTTTCCTTAGGCAACACGGCAGTAGACCTACTTTGCTGGTTTATGCATTTCTACAAACATTGGAATGACATAAACAGCATGAATTAATTTAGTTGTAACGCTCATGCACTTGGGAGCAGCTTTGGTTTCGTGAAAAAAACATTTGACTCGGAGTGAAACCTCGTCCCAATATTGGCGCTGCTATTTAGCTATCTGTGCAACTTTGGGCAAGTCTTGACTATCCGAATCCTGTTTCCTTCTTCATAAAATACCTGTCTTATGGTGTGTTGTGAGGACCTTATGTATTAAGCCAGAAAATGTGTATGAGGCATCCATTTGGTGCCAGTGCAAGGAACTTAAACCTACAGGTTATTCATACTTGTGCGAGGAAGGGAAGTTGGCAATATCCGTTCTCATTTACACATAAGGAAACTGAAAAGTGAAGGAGGTTAAGTACCTTACCCAAGTGCTACTCAGCTGGGAAGTAGCAGAGTTTTGAAGTTAGAAGATCTGAGCATAGAATCTATCAGATTTGGAAAGAACATCACTAGAAGAGGTGCCCAGTGTTCTAAGAGAGTATGTGGGAAGGGTGAGGGATGTGTATAATGACATAAATAGTAGTCATTACTTATTGAATGCTTACTGCATGCCGGGGACCATTCTCAGCACTTTACCAATATCAGTTAGTGCTCTCATCCCAGGACACTTTTATCATCTCCATCTTTCATTTGGGGAGATGGAGGCACAGAGCTCACCAGAGTAACATGGTTACACAGCTAGTAAGTAGTAGTAGAGCCAGGACTCCCAAACAGGTGGCCTGGCTCCAGATCTTAAGTTTTTAACCATCATGATTATAGTATAATAACGCAGCCACAGGATGGTAAATCTCCAATTTGTTGGGATTTGATGTGATGAGACCCAAGATTAAGTAGGAAACCTTGTACTGTTTAAAAGAATCAGATGGGGCGCCTGGGTGGCTCAGTCAGTTGAGCTCTTGGTTTCAGCCCAGGTCATGATTTTGGGGTGGTGAGATCGAGTCCCACATTGGGAGGAAGTCTGCTTGAGATTCCCTCTCCCTCTTCCCCTTCCCCCCTCAAATAAGTAAATAAATCTTTAGGAAAAAACAAAAACTAAAAGAATCAGACATGTTGCACAGGGATGGTGGAATAGCCCATGCATCAGAAATACCAAGATTGAGAAAGAAGGAAAGAATTTGAAGTACATCTCTCTAAGGATTAAGATGAGAGGAAATGGGAGGATGTTGTAGGGAAGTACAACATACCTTTTAGGCAGGTAATCTAAAACAGCATTGCCCAGGGGCACTGGGTGGCTCAGTTGGTTAAGCATATGGCTGTTGATTTCTGCTCAGGTCATGATGTCAGGGTCATGAGATCAGCCCCAGGTCATGCTCCACATTCAGCGGGGAGTCTGCTTGAGATCCTTTCTCTCCCTCTCTCTGCCCCTCCCCCCTCTAATAAATAAATAAATCTTTAAAAAAACCAGCACTGTCCAATGGAAATCTAACACAAGCCATATATGTAAATTTTCTAGTAGCCACATTTAAAATGGTAAAAAGAAGTCAATTTTAGTAATGTATTTTATTTAATTCTACATTTCCAAAATATTACCATTTTGACATGTGATAAATATTAAAAATTATGAGATATTTATCATTCTTTTTTTTACCAAATTTTTAAAATCCAGCATGTATTTTACACTTAACAGCACATCTCATTTTGGACTATTGGACTAGCAACATTTCAGGTTCTCAGTAGCCCCATTTGGTAGTGGCTACAGTATTGATCAGTGCAGATCTGTAGTAACTTGGAGTCAAGACACATATTTGTGGGAGTCTCATTCAGCCAAAAGTTAAGCATGTGTTAAGTTCTTGGTCTGCATTTCTGAAAATTTTATCTTAGAAAGTAAGGGGAGTGAAGAGTGACTGACTTTTAGAGGTTGTTACAATCCCAAGAGGAAAAAATTGGGCATAGTCAGATTTAAGAAATCGTTTATTCATCAAATACTTAAAATGGTTTATGAGTGCTACTGTGGACTCAGAACTGTGCCAAGTATCAGGGTGGATGCCGAGCAGTGTAAGACAGACGTGTCCCCTATTTTAATGGAGTAAACAAACACTGAATTATAATGAGGGCTGCAAAGGAAAACTACAGAGTGAATGAGTGTTTAAAAGGGGTTCTCAACCGACTCTGTTAAGAAGTATGGGGGGGCTGGGATGCCTTCTCAGAGAAATGACATTTCAGCCTGAAGACTGAGTAGAAGTTGGCCATGAGCAGAGGCAATAGTGAACATCCTGGGGTGACAAGGAGCTTAGAGCCTTCAGAGAACAGAAGAAGCAGCTGCTAATGTGGGTGCAGCATGACAATGAGAGTAGCTAACACTTCCGGAGTGCTTACTGAGTATCACCTAGTCCTTGTAAAATCTCCATGAAATAGGCATTATTACTTTCCCGATGTCACAGATGAGGAAACTAAGGCACAGAGAGTTTAAGTAACTTCACCAAGGCCTTATACCAATAAGCAGCAGCAGAACCAGTGTTTAAAAGATCCTAGGTGCTCCAATTCGGTGGGAGATTGGGGAGAGATGAAAAGAAGAGTGAGGTTGAGCCCATGCTAGAGGTTCAGGACTTTGGCATACACACAGTAGGAAGGAAGGGGGAAAAGTGTCTAAATTATCTCACGGGATTCTGTTAACAGAAAATAGCATGAAGGTTGGAAAAGGCTTCAAAGATTGATTATACCTTAACCACAAAGGGACATGTGCAAAGAACAAAGAAAAGCCAACAAATTGAGATGGCTGATGTTTCCTTCATCCTGGTATACATGGTATGCAGCACAGTGCCTAATATTGTATTATTCATCTTGTTATACATGGTATATAGGCCTCAATAAATGTTCCAAAGAATGCTAGGCTTCTTCTCCCATTGTCTGGATTCTCATGTTTAATTGCAACAACATCCGTACAAAGTAGATATTCTCACCTACATGTTATCAATGAAGAGACTGAGGCCTGGAAAAATGAAGTAACTTGCCCAAGCTCACATTGATAGCAAGTAGTAGAACCAGATTTGAATCCAGATCTCTGACTTCAGAACCCTGCTTTCTCTTTGCCAGACTTCCTCCAAGCGTAATGCACTTCAGACTTGGGATTAAATATCAGGGAATTGAAGCTCCATGTGAGTGTGGATGCTGGGAGAACACAACTGTTTCAGAGATTGTCAGACATTAAAGTGGAAGAATCCCTTGGGGAGCTTGTTAAATTTAGGTTCCCGAGTCCTATCAACTCGAATTCAGTTGGTCTGGGTGGTGCCCAGGAATCTGCATTTTAATAAGCACCTCAGGCCATTCTGATGCACCTGGTCCTTGGATCACACTTTGAAAACTACTGTTCTAGCTGCTTAAATTAATTCTTAAGTTTTCTGGTTCTGATCAGTTACATCTTGCATGTGAGGACCTCTTCGAGATGATGGTTTGAACACATAGCTGTTGACTTCGAAGGATCGTGGATGAGGGAGAATGTTGTGAGAAAGCTCACATTGAGCAAACGCCCCTAGTTTCAAAGCTCACGTTGAGCGAACACCCCGGTTTCAAGAGATGGATTCTGTAAGAACTGGTTGATGAACTAGGTGGGCTTCAGCTTGGCCTTGGGCAGTTAGTCCATCATTCAAAATAACTTTAAAGACAAGGTAGAGAAATGGAAGTAATACAGTAGTGGAATTAAGCAGCCTACTAACTACTTACTAATCTAAAGAACGTTTCTAAGACCACAGCCCCCGAACGTGTCCTCCATCTGGTTTATCCCCCCTTTCCATCCTCATCTAGCAAACCCTCCTCAGTCTTCAGGGTCACTTTCTCCTAAGATCTAGCCTGGGTCAGGTTACTTTGTGTATGCTACCATAGAACCACATTCTCCTTTGGTGCACTTACTCAGTTTGTAATAATACAGTAATTAGAGTGATTATTTGATTAATTTTTTTCTCCATTATAGGGTAAATTTTGTGAGAGCAGAGATGCCAATTTTTGCTTTCCATGGTATCCTTAGGACCTAGCCTGGTGCTAGCATGTAGCTGGCTCTCCATAAATTTTGTTGATCAATGAATGAATGCACCCTCACCCTGTCTTTGTCCTCTTTGGACCGGGATGAGGACTTGATGGCATCGTGATCAAATTAGCAGGGAAATTAAGCTGGAAAGAGATTTGCTAGAAGGCAAAACAGCACTCTGAGCCTCACAACAGAATAATAGACTGAATTTATCCAATGTACAGGACTAATTGAATAATTGTATGTGTCCCAAAAGTCTGCATGAGGACAGAATAGAGGATATGTCTTAATAGCAATGCAAGTAAGAAAGTCATGAAGGTTGCCTGCGCCAACGGTATGGGAAAGCTTCCAAACAGAACTTAGAAGACTCTGAATCTGTGATCACACCTGGGTATTGTGTTCCATTCTGGCCCCCACATTTTAAGTTGAAAAAGAGACAGCTAGTGTTCATAGGCATATGATATATGAAATAAAATAGGAAACTGGAAACCATGCCATTT